AGCCGTGGCTCTGCTGGTCGTGGCCTTCGGGGTGATTCCTCAGAGCAGGAGGTGAGGGAGCTGTAATGTCAAGGTGCGGCCAGAGAGGGCGCCACCTTCCCGCTCTGGAGAGAAGACGACTCCAGATTCTGCTTTGTCCCTCCAGAATAAAAGACTACTTCCTGCCGCCTGTTCCCAAGCCACGGATCATGGGCATTGACCCTCTGCTTCTGAAGGTGATGCATCCTGGGAAACGTAGTCGCGTCATTGTGCCCTGTCTGCTAGTTGTGACCCCGGCCCTTCCTTGTCTTGTCTTTGTGTGTCTAGAAGGGGAACTTTGATGAAATCAACCGTCACTTCAGTAACTTCCACGGATACCGGCCTCCCAGTTACTCGCTGGAGATGTGGGACCAGGTGAGCGCTGACGGGATCTACCTGAGCGCGCCGCAGGACGGCGGCGTCCAGAGCCCGCCGCCGTACCGCGCCGTGGCGCCGTACCGCGCCGTGGCGCCCGAGCCCTACACTGTGCTGCAGGACGCGCCGTCTCTGTGGCAACAGCCCGAGACGGCGTTCGTTCCCGGATCAGACTACAACACGATGGAGCGCCTCGGCGTTCCCGACGCCTCCGTTTCCGCTCCAGATCCGGCCCGCGCTCCGGTCCAGGACTTCTACACCTGCGTCCAGCTGATGAGGGACAGCGGCGAGGTCCACTTGGTGCCGTGTCTGCCGGCGCCATACTGCCAGGACTTCCTGCTGCCGCTCGGTCCGGATGCCGCCAAGCGAGAGAAGGAGAAGAAGAGGCTGGCGGAGAACCAGAACCAGAGCGACGACAAGAGCGACGACAAGAGCGACGACAAGAGCGACGACGCCGACCCGCTGCTGCCCGTCAGCCCGGACAACACCAAATAGGTCCAAGGTTCTGGACCGAGGTCTGGACCGAGGTTCTGGACCGAGGTCTGGACCGAGGTCTGGACCGAGGTTCTGGACCGCTCTGTTTTTGCTCAGCCTGTGTTGGCAGCCATCTTTACTGTGGGCGTGAAAAACACAATTATTGATGCATTCACATGAAATCTAACTAGAAGTTTCTAACAAGACATTGAACTGGTTCTGGTTCTGGTTCTGGTCACTCCACCAGGAGGAGCTGGGCATCCTGAACTCTTCTTCTTCTTCTTCTTCTTCTTTGTTTTAATGGCTGTTGGCTTTAAGCATATGAAGAATTAGCGCCACCTACTGGTCAGGAGTGTGGACTGCTTTGCTGTGAACTCTGGGTTCTGCAGTCCATTTGAAATGGACCCGGATACTTCAGAGTTTCAAGCTTGGTCTTTCTCAGGAAACAGGAAGTGGTGGCGCTGGTCGGAGAGGATTCTGGTTCTCTACATCCAGAACTTCCTGGGTTTATTTCCCGTTGTTTCCCGTCGCTCGGATAAAACCTCATTTTATTCCCACTTCGCTCTGCAGAAGCAGCCGCTCCTTGATTATCCATGTGCAGGGATGAGAATCGCTGATGACCCAGAACATGAGAGGAATGGAATCGGGCCCATAAGGTCCATTATCATTTTTATGCCAGCAGATTCCATAAAACCACTGAGAATCAGCACATGATGCCCAGTTTTCTCAGAATGAGGACTGGTTAGGGTTATTATTAGTTAATTGGCTTTAAACGATTCTACTGAGAAAACTCTGCAGCTCCGTGTGACTCTGTTAGCGTAGCATGTTAGCGCTCCATGACCGATCTCAGCTGGACTGAGATTAAACAGATACAAGCAAAGATTCACATTTTAGTTTTTACGCTGCCATCTATATTATTCTGAGACTTTATGTTGGTCGAGACTCATATTTAGGAAAAATTATTTAGTTTATCAACATGGAAATTTTCCTTCAACTCTAAAACAATAAATCCTATTCATAGAATCACATTATCAATAATTTATGAATAGAGTAAAACACTCAGCAAGCTGCAGGTAAATATTATCATTTAGCTGGTAAAGAATAATTATTGCCCTGTCAATAAATGATTTCTAATAGATTGTTATTACCAGAGGAAAACAGAAACGGCTTCATGAGGTCAGAGGTCAAACTGATGAAGAAAGAGGATGGATGCTCTCTGCTAAAATATTCCTGCATCTTCCATCATCTTTCAGCAAACAGTTGAGATAAAGTTGGTTCTGGTTTCACCACCATTTACCTGCTGTTTTACCTGCCAGTGAAAGTTTCATTAAAAGTTTGTTAATCTGCAGCTCATGAGACGGAACCAGCCGAGGAGATGAAAAGTTCAAACTGGAGTTAAAATGTTGTTTTAACTTGAGTTAAACTCAAGTTAAATGTTAAGTTTGAACATTTTAGCTCAACAAGCTCTAGTTGGGTAACCCTGAGATCACCAGATCCTCTTAAAGATGGCGTCTCTGAGAAAGTCCTTAAAGATACAGGAAGTGTTTTCTGCAAAGTGGAGCTGAATGTCCAGGAACGACACCAGGAATTTAAAATGTTCCAGTTTCAAACAGGTTGGCCATCGAGAGAAACTGGAATCACTTTCAGGTTTTGTTTATCTCATTTAATTATCTCTACTTCCTTAAGAAAATGAAAAGATATGTTGTTCTGAGAGGGAATTTATATTTTACCGTTCCAGTATTACCAGAATTAATATTGAACAATAAGAACTTTGTGCTATTTAGTAATGTAATTACATTAGTTGTATTACCTCCCCTCGCCACTAGAGGCAGCATCAGGCCAAAAAGATGCGACTAAATAGCAGATTTAGAAGAATGCCGAAAGCTACAGAATTAGTTTACAAACTGTGAGCTGAAGTAAATAAGAGAGAGAGTTAAATACCTGCTGAGAGTGAAAATCCTTCCTAAAGATAAAAATATAAAAAAATATATCACAGATTTCTAAGAAAATAAAAACGAAAGCTCATGTATAATATAGGAAATAGCGCCCCCTTCACTTCCGGAGTGCAACGGTCCATTTCCAAATAAGGTCTGAGGCTAACAGCGGTCCGTCGCCCTTCCTGTTAGCTGCAGCAGGTTCTTCTCGACCTGCAGGTCCGGTCGATGTGCTGAAGTCTGGACCGTTTCAACCAGAACCGCTGAACCGCAGCTGGTTGACGTCTTTTCTGTTTCTCAGGTCAGAGCTGCAGTATTTTTAGAAAATTGAGCCAAATGTTCCTTCATGCACAAAAGCAGAGCCACTGACACTCCTCCAGTTTGGATAAAAACTCTAAACACAATCTTGTAGATGACCCTGTGACCTTTTGGTGTTTGATGTGAGCCCAGTGAATAACCAGAAACTTTGGGACTCTGCCGTCTCCCTGTGGTCGTCCTCGTCTCTCGTTGTGCCTTTTGTCTCTGGTGTTTCATACCACTTTGTCCCCTCTGATCGCTTCTGATGTTAGAATGCCTGCAGGTCGTAACAGGAAGCCGGTCGTAACAGGAAGCCAGTCGTAACAGGAAGCTGGTCGTAACAGGAAGCCGGTTGTAACAGGAAGCTGGTCGTAACAGGAAGCCGGTTGTAACAGGAAGCTGGTCGTAACAGGAAGCTGGTCATAACAGGAAGCCGGTCGTAACAGGAAGTGTGTTGCTTTGTGGCGGGGAAATATCTTATATAAACATCTTTGGGTTGAGGCAATAAAAATTCTTGAATTTGTTTTGGATTGTATTGAATTATTGAAATGTTTGATTGTAAGTTGAATGGTGACTTGGTGCCAATGCAATAGTAGTGATCAATAAGTAAAAATGTTCAATTGTCTTGACTTGGATCACATGAACTGAAAGTATCCTGAAGCCTAAACGAGCTGTACCTGAGAAAAGGCTTATTTCTTGTGATAATGATGTAACGTTGCTTTGTGGACCTGGAAGCGTTTTTCTGTCTCTTATCAGGGTCTCTGTTGACCTTTCACCTCCTCTGTAGAGCCGTGTTGTTACTGATTTGTGGTCGGCTCAAAGTGCTTTTCCATCACAGTAAATAAGAACTCATTCTCACCTTCATGCCTCTGTTTGCCTCCTTCTCTCAAGAGACGTAGTTGAATATAACCCTTAAACAATCAGTCACTGCATGAGAACGATGCTGATCGACTGCTGGTGAGCCCAATGCATCCTTCTAATGCGGCTAACCCGTCTTTAGCTGCGGCTAACCCGTCTTTAGCTGAGGCTAACCCGTCTTTAGCTGAGGCTAACCCGTCTTTAGCTGCGGCTAACCCGTCTTTAGCTGCGGCTAACCCGTCTTTAGCTGCGGCTAACCCGTCTTTAGCTGAGGCTAACCCGTCTTTAGCTTAGGCTAACCCGTCTTCAGCTGAGGCTAACCCGTCTTTAGCTGAGGCTAACCCGTCTTTAGCTGAGGCTAACCCGTCTTTAGCTGCGGCTAACCCGTCTTTAGCTGCGGCTAACCCGTCTTTAGCTGAGGCTAACCCGTCTTTAGCTGCGGCTAACCCGTCTTTAGCTGAGGCTAACCCGTCTTTAGCTGAGGCTAACCCGTCTTTAGCTGCGGCTAACCCGTCTTTAGCTGAGGCTAACCCGTCTTTAGCTGCGGCTAACCCGTCTTTAGCTGAAGCTAGCCCATCTTTAGCTGCGGCTAACCCGTCTTTAGCTGCGGCTAACCCGTCTTTAGCTGCGGCTAACCCGTCTGTAGCTGAGGCTAACCCGTCTTTAGCTGAAGCTAGCCCATCTTTAGCTGCGGCTAGCCAGTCTTTAGCTATGATTAACGTTTAATCTGTTCTTAATAAGGACAGAAAGATAATCTAACCTCTTAAGGGAAATTAAAACATGAATAATCTGGTCAGTTTGGAAACTGAGACGCCAACAATTCTGAAAATTAGAATTTATAAAACTAACTTATTATGATAATTATTATGAGGCTCACATGTTCTTCCTTCTGCTCCATGAACAGAACTAAAGCAGAAACTCTACATCCTGTTTCTGCTTTTAATCTGAACTCTAATCTGGATTAGGACTTCCGGTCTCAGGAAGAAACGATCCAGGAGGGAAGGAACCCGGAAATGACGACACACGGCTGCTGGTGTCGGGTTTCTGAGGAAGAGGAGGAGGAGGAAGAGCAGCGGCTAATTTGGGCCGCAGAGTCAGAGGGGGTTCGGTTCGGTTCGGTCGGCCTGAGGAGCAGCTCCAGTCCGCCGCAGGTGAGAAACACACACACACACACACACACACACACACCACACACACACACACACACACTCAGGTGAAGCGTCACCTGTTGTCCCTCTGGTTCTGGTTCTGGTTCTGCTGTCGGTTCTGCAGCTGTCAGCAGCTTAAAATAACTCTGGAAGGACAAACAGCGGACCCGCGCGACCTGGACCGAACCGAACCGAACCGGACACAACCGGACAGGGTCAGAACTCAGGCCGGTCCAAAACGCACTTCATTAAACTGTCGGACCGGTTCTGGTTCTTGTGGGTCTGAGTTGGGACAGAACCGTCAGCGGTCCAATCGGAACCTGATTTGTTTTTGTAATAATTCTTCAGTTCTAGTTTCCAAATGAAATCAAAAGTTTTTCTTTCTCTTGTTTGTTTAAAAACAATAATAATAACATTAATGATCCTCATTTTAATGTTGCTGCTTATTTATTATCTTCTGTTCATAATCAATAAATAATAATTGAAGGAATTTAAGAAATGAAATTGGAGCTCAGCTGACGTCATCAACACCTGTCATCAGTTCTGATAGGGTCCTGGTTGCCATGGAGACAGCCAATGAAAGCGAGGTCCAGGCGGTCCCTGATGAAGAGGAGGAGGAAGAGGAAGAGGAGGTTCGAGGAGTCCAGGCTCGGTACCTGCGCTGCCCGTCTCCTAGGTAACGGCAGGATATTGATCAATATTGATAATAATAATAATAATAATAATAATAATAATCAGTTTCTCATATTTTTCATGTTTTCCTGGACAAATTGAAACTTTTCTGCCTGATCACCTCAGACTTGGTTTCCCCAGACTGACTTCCTCCTCCTCCTCCTCTTCCTCTTCCTCCTCCTCTTCCTCCTCCTCCTCCTCCTCCTCCTCTCGCAGCTTCTCCATGACCTCCTTGACCTCCAGGTTCTCTGATGCCTCCTCCATCGTCATGGAGCCCATCCATCTGTCGTCGGCCATCGCTGCCAAGAAGATCATCAGCGAAGGTAAGAGGGGGCGTAGTCAAAGTCCACATGTGGCTCTGGATTTGACTAGGCCTTAGCGTAGGCTGGATGTTTTGCTCCGCAGCATGATGCTGCCACCACCATGCTCCCTTTCTGTCTCCAAGTCCTGAGCTGCTCGTCCAGCAGAGGCCATGTTGAAGACCTGGATCCGGACCTGGAGCCGGTCCAACTCCAGGTCCAGCTGCTGGTCCGGCTCCTTTGCTTTGTGCTGCTTCTGTCGTGTCTGCTGCAGGATTTTAAAACAACTTAAAACATTTCTGAAGCGTTTCCGTGGCGATTCTGAAGCCTTATGAAGCTGCAGGTCAGGCGAGGTCAGGTGAGGTCAGGCGAGGTCAGGCGAGGTCAGGTGAGGTCAGGTGAGGTCAAACGGTTCTGCTCATTGTCGTGCAGACGGCGCCGGCGGCCCAGTGGCAGCTTAATGGAGGATTCTTGTTCCATCTGCGGAAACAGGGTGACAGCCAAAGAGCTTTCCCTCCCTCTGTGCTCCATGGCTAATGCTAACACATGGCTAATGCTAACACATAGCTAATGCTAACACATGGCTAATGCTAACACATGGCTAATGCTAACACATGGCTAACGCTAACACATGGCTAATGCTAACACATGGCTAACCCTAACACATGGCTAATGCTAACACATGGCTAACGCCAACACATGGCTAACGCTAACACATGGCTAACGCTAACACATGGCTAACGCCAACACATGGCTAACACTAACACATGGCTAACACTAACACATGGCTAACGCTAACACATGGCTAAAGCCAACACATGGCTAACGCTAACACATGGCTAACACTAATACATGGCTAACGCTAACACATGGCTAACGCTAACACATGGCTAACACTAACACATGGCTAATGCCAACACATGGCTAACGCTAACACATGGCTAACACTAACACATGGCTAACGCTAACACATGGCTAACGCTAACACATGGCTAACGCTAACACATGGCTAATGCTAACACATGGCTAATGCTAACACATGGCTAACCCTAACACATGGCTAATGCTAACACATGGCTAACGCCAACACATGGCTAACGCCAACACATGGCTAACGCTAACACATGGCTAACGCCAACACATGGCTAACACTAACACATGGCTAACACTAACACATGGCTAACGCTAACACATGGCTAAAGCCAACACATGGCTAACTAACACATGGCTAACACTAATACATGGCTAACGCTAACACATGGCTAACGCTAACACATGGCTAACACTAACACATGGCTAATGCCAACACATGGCTAACGCTAACACATGGCTAACACTAACACATGGCTAACGCTAACACATGGCTAACGCTAACACATGGCTAACGCTAACACATGGCTAACACTAACACATGGCTAACGCTAACACATGGCTAACGCTAACACATGGCTAACACTAACACATGGCTAATGCCAACACATGGCTAACGCTAACACATGGCTAACACTAACACATGGCTAACGCTAACACATGGCTAACGCTAACACATGGCTAACACTAACACATGGCTAACGCTAACACATGGCTAACGCTAACACATGGCTAACGCTAACACATGGCTAACGCTAACACATGGCTAACGCTAACACATGGCTAACACTAACCACGCAGCCCAGCAGACGAACATCCAGAGTTCAGATCTATTTACGACGAAACCAAGCAACAAATGCACCTCTTTTATCATCGCTTCTGAACTCGAATTAATGTGAATATGTTTATTTATATGGTCAATCAGTAACAAACATGGCGGCACTTCCTGTCTTTGTCTTCTCTGCCAGCAGCAACATCCTGTTGGTCATGTGATCAGAGAGCAAAATACATAAAAAAATTGACCTCATCCCAGAGCAAAAACGTTTGATCAGAAACATAAAAAGTCAGAACCTGGATCAGAACCAGAACCTGATTCTGAGCCTGCGGCTCCATGTTGGTGGTGGCAGTGTGGGGAAGATGGCGAACTCACTCCTCCTTCCTCTCCTCTGACGGACGAGATTTGGTCCAAACTGGGTCATCAGCAGAAGAAAGCAACTATGTCCTAGTCAAAGTACAGACCTATTGACATGGACAAGAATTAATTCATGAATCATGAATTTGTTCTGGGGTTTCTGTTCTCCCTCTTGGTTACCAGTCTCTAAGCATTGATGATGTCACCATGAACTGATTGCAGAAGAAAAGCCTAAACTGAATTCAGTAATTTATTCAAATGTTGGGAAAATTTTAACCACGGGCCCATCAGTCACAGCGCCACCGACTGGCCCGGCTGACCTACCTCATCATTTTCTTCTTGCTGTGATCGGAGCCTGAGTGACTGACTCCTTGGTTTCCACAAACCTGAATGTTTTGAGTTTCTTCGATGTAAAGTAAAAGCCGAAGGTCGTGTTTCCTCGCTTGTGGTAACCGGCCGTTCCTCCCCAGAGCTGCCGCCCCGCGCCTCCCGCCCCGAGTCCGTCCCGGAGTCCATGCTGGAGTCTGCGGAGCAGCTGATGGTGGAGGACCTGTACAACCGGGTCCGGGACATGCTGGACGACCGCAGCCCCTACAACACGCCCTGCGTGCTGGACATCCAGAGGGCCGTGGTCCAGGACCGCTTGGAGGCGCCCGCCAACCCCGTGGACGAGGTCTGGCCCAACATCCACATCGCCGAGAAGTGAGTACAGTGTCGTCATTTCATCGGCTTCAACTTCGACATCCAAGAGCTGTGCTTCCGTTTCAGATCCGTTGCGGTGAACAAGGCCCGTCTGAAGAGAATGGGCATCACGCACATCCTGAACACGGCCCACGGTACCGGCGTCTACACCAGCCAGGCCTTCTACGCCAACATGAACATCCAGTACCGAGGAATCGAACTGGACGACTTCCCCGACGCCGACATCTCCGCGCATTTCAGACCCACCGCAGAGTTCCTGGACGAGGCTCTGCTCACACACAGAGGTCAGTCTGGACCAGAACCAGAACCTGGACCTGACTCCTGGTCTAGTTGAGTTAGAGATTGGATCCATTGGAGGGTCTTCATTGAACCCGCAGACCCTGCCAGGCCTTACTCCTCATTGGTTGGTCAGTCAACCAATGGGATCAGGTCCTGTGGCTGACCTCAGTGACCTCCTGCTTCCTTTGTCCTGCGGTTTGAAGCTTCATCTTCCTCACCATCGTCTGCTTGTTTCTCCCTTACAGAACTCCAATCCATATGAAATGAGACTTTGACGTAGTTCCACTTAATTTCCCTCATTCTGAAACCAAGTGCTTCAAAGTCTTCAAATGTTTGCTTTGTTGGACTCTGAGGTGTTTTGAGGATTACTGGTGAATTTTATTCACTCATTCATCCTGTTTCTCCCTGAGGCCTGAAACACAAAGCACTTGTTTCATTGCTCAGAGTTTCTCTGCGTGTCCCTGAGCAGCAGCCGTCACTGACGCACTAAGAGATCCAGAATAGCATACTTTAATCTCCATAACTCGGTTTCTGGGAATGTTTTATGAGCCTGCAGATCATAGTTCCTGGAAAAGTGATGCTAATGTCCACTGTAGTTATTCATGAGTTTCCCTCAGGAAAGTTAACCTCCAGTTCGCTGCACATGGTAACATTTTCTTTTCTACAACTAAACGATTCTCTGTTCTCAAAAGCCCAGACTCACTCACAATCTGTTTGTCTGGCAGGAAAAGTTCTGGTTGTGTCCATGATGGGCGTCAGCCGGTCGGCCATTCTGGTGGCGTCCTACCTGATGATCTTCCAGAACATGACGATCATGGAGGCGCTGACCGCCATCAGGAAGAAACGGGCCATCAACCCCAACGAAGGCTTCCTGAAGCAGCTGAGAGAGTTCAACGAAACGCTGATGGAGGAACGCGACGACGATGACGAAACGCTCAGCCAGTGCTCCGTCATCGACACTCGCGCCCGCATCTTCGGTGAGGAAAAGGGTGATGATGATGATGAAGAGACAGATGGGGAGGAAGAGCGGAGCGTGGTGAAGGTGACGGCGCAGTCCATCATGATGGAGGAGGAGGAAGACGGAGAGAGCGTGATGAGCAGCATCGCTTCCTCTGCGGCGGCTGCGGCGCTGCGAAACGGGCCGCTCCACAACGGGGATCAGGAACCGGGTCACCGGGAGATGGACCTGCCGCGGCCGACGGGCACGGAGGACGGAGCTGAGGATGACGATGACGGCCTGGACGGCATGATCCGCGAGTGGCAGCGCAGAAATGAAAAGTACCAGAGCGAGGAGTGGTGGGAGGCCCAGCTCCACGGCGAGGAGGACTCCGTCAGCGCCGGCCGTCCCAAGGCAGCGAGGCAGGAAGACGACGGGGAGAGCGTCACCAGCGAGGACATCCGAGCTGTCAAAGAGAGACTGACGCACAGGAACAAGAGGCCCTCCTCAGACGCCACGTCCATCTCCAGCTGCACCAGTTACTCTGACCTCTGGAAGCAGCGACTCAAAGAGATTGAGGAACAAGCCGCGGCTCGCTACCGCAAGACAGAGGACGATGAAGGCAGCGAGAGCACAGGGATTGAGGGTGAAAACAAGAAGATTGATGCCGAGGTTGACAGCATCCTGTCTGACACCAGCTCCATGTACAACTTTTGCCAGAAGAATAAGGAGAAGATGACGCCTTTGGAGCGCTGGCGCATCAAGAGGATCCAGTTCGGCTGGAACAAAAAAGACCGAGAGGATGGAGGGAAAAGTTCAGCCACTGATGGAGAGGAGGAAAGTAAGACTCCGTCCTTCCAGGATGTCAATCTGACGGCGTACCAGGCCTGGAAGCTGCGGCAACAGAAACGCCTCGGTGAGGACAACACGGAGGAGATCCTGGAGCTCAGCCGCGGCGACGACTCGGCAGCCATCAAACGGAGGCAGAGACGTGAAGAGATTCTGGAACGCTCTAAGAAAACCTTGGAGGAGAGTCAGTCCATGTGTGGGTGGGATTCAGAAAGCTGCGTCAGCGGCGGGACCATCCCTCTGTCCGCCTTCTGGGCTGGAGCCGGGGTCACCGGCCCTCCCAGTGTCGCCAACGACGACAACATATCCATGCTGAGCGGCAGGTCATCCACCATGTCCTCTGTTTCACAGCCTCGAAGTCCAAGATCCACTCAGTCCGCTGGCCAAGCCCTTCCCCCAGTCCTCCCAGTCCCAGCTGTGCCGGGGCCTGCAGGTGAACCCGTGATCAACCTCACCAGCATTCAGAACTGGATCGCCAATGTTGTGACTGAAACGATCAAGCAGAAGCAGAGTGAACTGAGCCTGCCTCCTCCATCACGTGCTGGATCTGAGCTCAGCTTTGGAGCGGCGCCTAGCATGCTAGCCAGCCGCCGTGCAGGGGATGACGGGGCCTCCTGGGTCAGCGGGGCGTCCTCCTCCAGCACTCTATCAAAGGGTCATGGCAGAGCAACGTCTGTCCTCTCCGGCGGCGGCAGCATGTCTGGTCTGAGTGGGCGACGCTCCACTCTGGGGACGGACATCGGGTCCGCTTTGGGCTCCAAGAAAACCAAGATCACCACGACCAGCGTTCCTCTCTTCAGCCTCTTCCAAGACCAGGTCGATCTGGGCAAACTGGACGCCATAGAGAAGGAGATCAAATCTGAAATGAGGGACAAAGGGGAAACCTATGAGAAGAAAAAGATCCTGGAAGACAACAAGCGCAGCACACTGTACAAGAAAAAGAAACTAAAGGAGGATGAGGATGAGGAGAAGGACAGGAAGAGGAAAGAGGAAGAGTTTCTGGAAGAAACAAAGAAAAAGGAGAAACCCAAAAGAAGCTACGGTCTTTCCGGCTGCCTAAATCTCAACCCGCTGATAGAGAAAGACCGGAACACCAGCATTGACGACTGGCTGAGAAGTGTAAGACCTCCTCCAGGCAAACCGTCCTCAGGTGCAGAAGCTGATCCGTCTCAGGATCCTTACGACGACCTGGACGCCTCGGCTTCCCAGTTTGACTTCTCTGATCACAGAGGCTCGTTCGCTGCTGAACGAGACGACGAGGAAGCATTCGCCGAGACTTCCAGATATCGGCCGAGGTTCGGTGAAGATCCGTCAGCCGAAGATGCCGAATACTCCTGCAACGGGTTCACACACTCCCACAGACGGGCGGGTGGGACCAGCCGGGACGGGACGGACAGCGTCTCGCCCCATCAGAGATTTGCTCATCGCTCACGGTACGACGGCGGCGAAGCCGCAGGGAGGCGGGACGCCAGCAACGAGGAGGACGAGGACGTCGAGGCTTTCATCGCTCAAACCAGACGGAGGATCCGGGCCCGAGCCGCCGCGGAGGCCGAAGACGACGAAGTCCTCTTTGCCTGGAGGGAGCAGCAGGGAGCCAAGAATCGGAGGAAAGTCTTGGGATGTGAAGAATGAGAGGTTATCCTCTCATTCTTCACCCTAACCCCAACCCCAACCCAACCCCAACCCAACCCCAACCCTAACCCTTTGTTTGGCTGGACAACACAAAGCTGCTGCATCCGATTTCCTCTGCGGCTCTGAATAACTGTCACCACCTACTGGCCACATGGAGGTATTGCAGTATTCATTTAATCTGCTGTCTTTTCTCAGCAGATTAGTCTTGAAATATTCAGATTAGGAGAATATATTTCCACCCAATGTTATTATGAAAGTATTTAATTCTTGTTTTAAATGTCAAACCCATATATTGTCACGATGAGGTGAAACTACTGACAGAAGGAACATTTTTCTGCTTTGATTTCATTGTTTTAATAAATATTCATAGAAGCATCTCTTGCATTTTTCATTTTTGAGCCAATTTTCCTGAAAAGAAGGAACAGTTTAATGGATCCAGAGATTCAGCCTCATGATGATGATGATAAAATTTACATGAGCATGAAATCCTCCAGGCTCCAGACCCAGACCAGACCCAGACCAAACTCGGCTCTGTTTACAGCGTTACCAGTGACTGATGCTGATGTCACTGGTAACACTGGGACCAGTGGAGCGCTGGTACCGACGGGGTTCCCAATAGAACCTGCAGCCTTGCAGGTCCAGACTGCAAATACTAGTTTTGGTAACGTTTTCCTCACTTCAGCTCAGAATATTAATAATGTCTGCAGATGAAGCTTTGCATGAGTCAGAACTGTTAAAATATTCAGAATTCATCAGAGGAACGTTTCTGCTGATCTGACCTGAAGGAAACACGTGTGATGACGTCACGCTTTCTTCATGGAACACTGCCATCTGGTGGGTGTGCGAGGCGGTGCTGATATTTACCTACAGTCATTTTTCTAAACACTGATTCTGTGAGATGATTTCCATCTGGACTGAACAGATCAGAGTATTTTTATCTAAACTTTCACTTCCAGATGAAGGTTTTGCAGCTGATGCACATGGATGGATTTGATGCTGTGAAACATGAACAGGACAATAACGTGTCTTAACGATTCTTCTTATTCTGCTCTGAGGAGGAAAACAGGAAGCAGAGGGGTTACAGACCTGGAGCAAAACGAGGAACACATGGAGACGAGGTAGGAAACGGATCGCTCTAAAGGTTTCACCCCATCTGACTCCACTGGGGAACATTATCTCACACCACCGAGCAGCAACAAAGACTGGGAGCACTGGGAGCACTGGGAGGGAGCACTGGGACTTCCTGCCAGATTCAGCAGCGGTTTCCCAGCAGCAGATTCAACCTGCAGACTCGTTTCACCTGAAGGTAAAAACTTGAATCTCTTTTGCTCTGAATCCTGCGAAACCTTCCATTCGGTGTGAAACGGCGACGCCTCTGGCCGCGGAAGGTCATTACAAGTGTGTAGCGGACAGCTGACGTCACAGTCGTGTAATATCCAGAAAAGCGTTTCTAGAGATTGACGCGGTTTAAGTGACTTCTGACAGCGGACTGTAATCATGATGAAAACAACAACATCGCTAAATGTCTGAAATGATACTTCAATAATCCACTTATTACCGTATTTTAGACTCGTTACACACATGACCAGTTCATGACTTTTATTTTAAGAAAGTTTCAATCAAAGACAAAAGTAGCCACAATGTTCTTGAAGTGTCAGATTGAGGTTAACCCCAGGGGGCTGGAGAGCCAGTCATATTGCATTTGCTCTAAAGTTCTGCACATGAAGGTCCATTTGGTCAGAAACACCGGCTTTCTAATTACTTTAAACTTTAAATGCTTAAACCTTTTGTTTCTGTTACGTAACGTTGGAACACTGGCTGAGCTGCCAAACGAACATTCAGCCTGACTTTATTCATGACCATCTCATTAAAATTCCTCACTGGTGACACAAACAACCTCACACTCCAGATTTACCCACCAATACGGACAGAGAGACAGTATTCCTGTTTCCTGCAGGCATCAGAGGCTGATGGACGCCGCCGCGCGCCGCCTGTGGAGGACAGGAAGCAGGAAGTTACAGAAGACAAAGGAAGCAAAGGTGGAGGAGGTCCAAACTCCCCAAAGACAGAGGAAGAGGCTGACGTGGAGGACGATGAGAAGAAAAGCAGCAGCAGCCAGTCCAAGTACCAAACCGTGTCTTACAAGAAGATCCGCAAAGGAAACACGCGGCAGAGGATCGACGAGTTCGAGGCCATGTTTGACCTGTGATGAAGAGCTGGAGGCCGAGGACGGAGCCTGGAGGCGCTCCGCTCCTGATCCACACAACGTCTGCTCAGTACCGTAGTTTTCAGACTTTAACCGGACCGGAGCCCCCGCACAGATCTCCTCCTTACTGCCGTTTTTCTCCTGAAAATTCAGAAAGCTGATGTTTTCATTGCCAGGGTGCAAATGTTGATGGCAAACAAAATGTTTCATAGAGAAAAGAACTAAAATTAGTTGGACTTCACAGAATGTAAATCTAGACTTCTCAGGCAAATTTAACATGGAAACCAATTGAAGGAAATAAAAATGGCTTCAACGTCTCAACAATGTTTCATTTACTGTAAAAAAGATTTTCCAAATTGTTTCTCAGAACTTTATTGTTTGTGATGATCTCAGCATTAATATGTAGTGATCAAGTTTAGTTCAATATTCACATGAAATGTGAGGATAGTTTTACTCAGGAACTTTAATTGATTTTGTGAGTTTATTCTGTTCAACAGTTTCAATAGTTGCTGAAATGTCTAAATGAAGCTGGACATTTATGAAACAAACAGATGATCAGCAGTTCATGAGCAGCACCAGAAACCAGAGCTGTCACTTTCAGGACAGATAAACATGCAGCCGCCAAAGCCAGCAAGGAAGTCACGTGTCATAACCGGAAGTTAAGAATGAGTTTGACATTATTTGAAAAACCTTCTTGTTTAGTAACAAACTTTCTCATCTCAAGAAGTTTAACACCAGAAACTTTCTCTTTCAATCTTTGTTACGTGTTTTCTGTCAAATAGGGATTTTAGCACCGCATCTTATTGGATGCTGAACTGGGGAACGAGCTGGGAACTCCATTTCCCAAAATGCCCTGCTGCTGAGTGAAGTCACGTGGGTCGCAGGCGCCGGTAGTTTGTTTGACAGCAGCGCAGAGGGGATTGATTTCCTCGCGGCTCCTGGACCGAACCGCCGGTCGGTTCGGTACCCAACGAACCTGGAGGCCAAACTTCTCGCTTCGGCTCCAATTTTAAACGGAGGACGGATTTTAAAGGAGAAATGAACCGGTTCCAATGCCGCGGGGCTCCGTCTACTTGCTGGGAACCAACGCGGAGACAGCTGCGGGCGGAAGGTTAAAGTAGTTCCAGGGTTTATTCGGTGCTCGGTAGTGAAAGTGCCGCTCAGCGTCAGTGCAGCTCGTTCTCCGCTGCTTTTACTCCAGTTCAGCCCCGAGCTGAGCGCTGCGCTGCGGCTCTGCGCCAGGTGGTAGTCGGCGGCCATGCCGCCCGTTGGAGGAAGAGGAAGAGGAAGGAGCCGATGATGATGATGATGATGATGACACGCAGTTAGCGGCTGTCCAGCTGGCGGACGGATCGGAGCGGGACCCGAACCTGGACCTGGACCCGGACCCTGGACCCGGACCTGGATCCGGGCAGAGGCTCCAGCATGCCGCGGAGGAAGCAGTCCCACCCTCAGCCGCTCAAAGGTGGGTCTACCTGCGGCTCCGCGCCGCACAGCGTCGCCCGCGGAAGAAATCCCTCCGCGCAATGAGGAAGTGTCTGCCCGAACCGAACCGGGCCGGGCTGCTGTTGCTCCGGACCGGAGGCTTCAGCTGGAATCAGGGTTGTTCTGACTGAACTGGTCTGACTGGTTGAACTGGTCTGACTGGTTGAACTGGTCTGACTGGAGGCTCGACCCCCATATCTGCCCCTGAGGAAGACTACTGCTCTTCCTCCGGGCCCTTATCTCCTCCTCCTCTCTGCTTCCTGCCTCCACTTCCTGCCCCCCCTCTTCCCCCATCCTTCCTGCTCACCAGTCACACCAGTCACACCAGTTAGACCAGTTGGACCAGTTGGACCAGTGGCAGCTCTGAATCTCAGCTTTGCGACCAGTAAAGATCCAGACCCGCTTGCGGTGGTTCTGCTGGACCCGGTTCCCTTCAGCTCTCTGGTCCGGGCTCCTTAACTCCAGAACTCAGTCTGACCTCTGACCTCTGGTCCGTCCGCAGCCGGTCCGACCCGAGCGACTTCCCGCCGAGCGGAGACGGAGGGACGGGTTGGAGGATGGGAGGTTTCCATGGCGACAGGAGCTCGTCTGTGTGTCTGGAGCCCGCAGGCCCTGCAGCCTCCGCCGTGCCGGGCCTGCTGTGCTGCCGGGCCTGCGGTCTGAGCCTCGGTAACAAAACCACGATTTACTGTTTCGGTTTGGAGTTTCTTGTCATTTTGATCTATTTTCACATTTATTTGTTCTTTTTATTTCATTTTTATACTTTTTAAATATTTGATATTGTTTTATTTCTTTAATTTATGCATAGTCTCTTATTTTCATTGATGAATTGAATTGAAATTTTATTGTAAATTATTTTAGTGCTTTTAATGTTTCAGTTCAGTTAGTTTTACTGGGGTTCAGTTTGAAACGTTTATTTTCCCTCTGCCTCGTTCGGCCAGGTGTGGGTCCGGCTCTGGGGGCGGAGCTTTACTGTCTCGCCTGTGAGCGGCGGAGGTCGGCCGGCGGGAGCGGCGCCCCCTGCAGGCTGTTCTCGTGCTCGCTGTGCGCCTTCACCTCGCGTTACTCCAACCACCTGAAGCGTCACATGACCGTCCACGACGGCCGCAAGCCGCACCGCTGCCCCGTCTGCCCCTACGCCTCGGCGCAGCTCGTCAACCTGCAGCGCCACCTGCGCACCCACACCGGGGAGAAACCTTACGGCTGCGCCCAGTGCAGCTACGCCTGCGGCTCCCTGGGCAACCTGCGGAGGCACCAGCGCGTGCACGCTCAGGCGGCGGCGCCGCAGGAGGAGCAGAGGAAACCCGGCAGGAAGACGGAGGGCGCAGAAGGTAAAGATCAGCACTTCCAGTCCTCCGTCTCCCATCATGCAACAGGCTCAGGATCAGAGCTGCTTCATGCTGGGCGATCAGAGGAAGAGGAAGTGAGAGAGTTTGTGGGCGGAGCCAGCAATGAAGCTGAACTGATGGAGGGAAACGCCTCACAGCTGCATCAGCTGATGGGGGTCAGAGGGGGCTAGTAGGGGTCAGAGGGGGCTAGTAGAAGTCAGAGGGGGCTAGTAGGGGTCAGAGAGGGTCAGAGGGGGCTAGTAGGGGTCAGAGAGGGTCAGAGGGGGCTAGTAGAGGGTCAGAGGGGGCTAGTAGAGGGTCAGAGGGGGCTAGTAGAGGGTCAGAGGGGGCTAGTAGAGGGTCAGAGGGGCTAGTAGAGGGTCAGAGGGGGTAGTAGGGGTCAGAAGGGGTTAGTAGGGGTCAGAGAGGGTGAGAGGGGGCTAGTAGAGGTCAGAGAGGGTCAGAGGGGGCTAGTAGGGGTCAGAGAGGGTCAGAGGGGGCTAGTAGAGGGTCAGAGGGGGCTAGTAGAGGGTCAGAGGGGGCTAGTAGAGGGTCAGAGGGGGCTAGTAGAGGTCAGAGGGGGATAGTAGGGGTCAGAAGGGTTAGTAGAGGTCAGAAAGGGTCAAAGGGGCTAGTAGAGGTCAGAGGGTTAGTAGAGGTCAGAGGGGGCTAGTAGAGGTCAGAGGGGGCTAGTAGAGGTCAGAAAGGGTCAAAGGGGGCTAGTAGGGGTCAGAGGGGCTAGTAGAGGTCAGAGGGGGCTAGTAGAGGTCAGAGGGGGCTAGTAGAGGTCAGAAAGGGTCAAAGGGGGCTAGTAGAGGTCAGAGGGGTTAGTAGGGGTCAGAGAGGGTCAGAGGGGTTAGTAGAGGTCAGAGGGGCTAGTAGAGGTCAGAGGGGGCTAGTAGAGGTCAGAGGGGGCTAGTAGAGGTCAGAGGGGTTAGGGGTCAGAGGGTCAGAGGGGGTTAGTAGAGGTCAGAGGGGGCTAGTAGAGGTCAGAGGGGGCTAGTAGAGGTCAGAGGGGGCTAGTAGAGGTCAGAGGGGGCTAGTAGAGGTCAGAAAGGGTCAAAGGGGGCTAGTAGAGGTCAGAGGGGTTAGTAGGGGTCAGAGAGGGTCAGAGGGGGTTAGTAGAGGTCAGAGGGGGCTAGTAGAGGTCAGAGGGTTAGTAGAGGTCAGAGGGGCTAGTAGAGGTCAGAAAGGGTCAAAGGGGCTAGTAGAGGTCAGAGGGTTAGTAGAGGTCAGAGGGGGCTAGTAGAGGTCAGAGGGGGCTAGTAGAGGTCAGAAAGGGTCAGAGGGGGTTAGTAGAGGTCAGAGGGGGCTAGTAGAGGTCAGAGGGGGCTAGTAGAGGTCAGAGAGGGTCAGAGGGGGTTAGTAGAGGTCAGAGGGGGCTAGTAGAGGTCAGAGGGGCTAGTAGAGGTCAGAGGGGGCTAGTAGAGGTCAGAGGGGGCTAGTAGAGGTCAGAAAGGGTCAAAGGGGGCTAGTAGAGGTCAGAGGGGTTTGTAGGGGTCAGAGAGGGTCAGAGGGGGTTAGTAGAGGTCAGAGGGGGCTAGTAGAGGTCAGAAAGGGTCAAAGGGGCTAGTAGAGGTCAGAGGGGTTAGTAGGGTCAGAGAGGGTCAGAGGGGGTTAGTAGAGGTCAGAGGGGCTAGTAGAGGTCAGAGGGGCTAGTAGAGGTCAGAGGGGGCTAGTAGAGGTCAGAGGGGGCTAGTAGAGGTCAGAGGGGCTAGTAGAGGTCAGAAAGGGTCAAAGGGGGCTAGTAGAGGTCAGAGGGGTTAGTAGGGGTCAGAGAGGGTCAGAGGGGGTTAGTAGAGGTCAGAGGGGGCTAGTAGAGGTCAGAGGGGGCTAGTAGAGGTCAGAAAGGGTCAAAGGGGCTAGTAGAGGTCAGAGGGGTTAGTAGGGGTCAGAGAGGGTCAGAGGGGGTTAGTAGAGGTCAGAGGGGGCTAGTAGAGGTCAGAGGGGGCTAGTAGAGGTCAGAAAGGGTCAAAGGGGGCTAGTAGAGGTCAGAGGGGTTAGTAGGGGTCAGAGAGGGTCAGAGGGGGTTAGTAGAGGTCAGAGGGGGCTAGTAGAGGTCAGAGGGGGCTAGTAGAGGTCAGAGAGGGTCAGAGGGGGCTAGTAGAGGTCAGAGGGGTTAGTAGGGGTCAGAGAGGGTCAGAGGGGGCTAGTAGAGGTCAGAGGGGGCTAGTAGAGGTCAGAGAGGGTCAGAGGGGGCTAGTAGAGGTCAGAGGGGTTAGTAGGGGTCAGAGGGGGCTAGTAGAGGTCAGAGGGGGCTAGTAGAGGTCAGAGGGGGCTAGTAGAGGTCAGAGGGGGCTAGTAGAGGTCAGAGGGGGCTAGTAGAGGTCAGAGGGGGCTAGTAGAGGTCAGAAGGGTCAGAGGGGGCTAGTAGAGGTCAGAGGGGTTAGTAGGGTCAGAGAGGTCAGAGGGGTTAGTAGAGGTCAGAGGGGGCTAGTAGAGGTCAGAGGGGGCTAGTAGAGGTCAGAGGGGGCTAGTAGAGGTCAGAGAGGGTCAGAGGGGCTAGTAGAGGTCAGAGGGGGCTAGTAGGGGTCAGAGAGGGTCAGAGGGGGTTAGAGGTCAGAGGGGGCTAGTAGAGGTCAGAAAGGGTCAAAGGGGGCTAGTAGAGGTCAGAGAGGGTCAGAGGGGTTAGTAGAGGTCAGAGGGGGCTAGTAGAGGTCAGAGGGGTTAGTAGAGGTCAGAGAGGGTCAGAGGGGGCTAGTAGAGGTCAGAGGGGGCTAGTAGAGGTCAGAGGGGGCTAGTAGAGGTCAGAGGGGGCTAGTAGAGGTCAGAGGGGGCTAGTAGAGGTCAGAGGGGGCTAGTAGAGGTCAGAGGGGGCTAGTAGAGGGTCAGAGGGGGCTAGTAGAGGTCAGAAAGGGTCAAAGGGGGCTAGTAGAGGTCAGAAAGGGTCAGAGGGGGCTAGTAGAGGTCAGAGGGGGCTAGTAGAGGGTCAGAGGGGGCTAGTAGAGGTCAGAAAGGGTCAGAGGGGGCTAGTAGGGGTCAGAGAGGGTCAGAGGGGGTTAGTAGAGGTCAGAGAGGGTCAGAGGGGTTAGTAGAAGTCAGAGGGGGCTAGTAGAGGTCAGAGAGGGTCAGAGGGGGTTAGTAGAGGTCAGAGGGGGCCTGTAGGGGTCAGAGAGGGTCAGTAGGGTCGACAGGTTGCATCACAGATGCTCTTTCAGTGAAGATGTAAAGATGTTGAACTTCTCGTCGTCTCCCTTCCAGGGTTTGTTGAGAATGTTTCCTTTATGTCTCAGATTAAATAGAAATGTTGATTAATAATCATCTTATTTCTAATAAATAGTCTTTATGTCTGATTTGAATCCTGTATTGATCAGGAAGTCGGGCTGAGCAATAAGAATGCGAGCGAACATCACTTGAGCTTTTCGCCATTTTACTGACAATTTATGATAAAGTGTGAAGAGAAACTGCAGTTTATTTACTTCCTATTTTGGCATCAATGCCTGTGAACCCTGTAATAACCCCTGACCCTGTGATAACCCTGTGATAACCCCTGATAACCCCTGATAACCCTGTGATAACCCTGTGATAACCCTAACCCTGATAACCCTAACCCTAACCCTAACACCCTATAAACCGGAGGGCCTGACAGAACTCAGGCTTTGGCCCCCTGCTGCTCCACTGGAAACCATTTTCCTCTCTGCCGTTATCAGAGCTGCCACTGGGGGCGCCGGAGGACCGCTCCCACCTGCAGCCGACAGGAGGCGCTGGCTCCGCCCCCCCGACCCTGGAGGGGGGGCAGAGGTCACACCTGCACAGGTGAGTTCCTGCTTTCAGGTGTCACTGGGGGTTTCCATGGCAACAGCAAGCAGCATGTAATGTTTCGTGAGCCGTCGGCTAAGATAGTCTGGTCCTCTAGTCTGGTCCTCTAGTCTAGTCCTCTACTCTAGTCCTCTACTCTAGTCCTCTACTCTAGTCCTCTAGTCTAGTCCTCTAGTCTAGTCCTCTAGTCTAGTCCTCTAGTCTGGTCCTCTAGTCTAGTCCTCTAGTCTGGTCCTCTAGTCTGGTCCTCTAGTCTGGTCCTCTAGTCTGGTCCTCTAGTCTGGTCCTCTAGTCTAGTCCTCTAGTCTAGTCCTCTAGTCTGGTCCTCTAGTCTAGTCCTCTAGTCTGGTCCTCTAGTCTAGTCCTCTAGTCTGGTCCTCTAGTCTAGTCCTCTAGTCTAGTCCTCTAGTCTGGTCCTCTAGTCTGGTCCTCTAGTCTGGTCCTCTAGTCTAGTCCTCTAGTCTAGTCCTCTAGTCTGGTCCTCTAGTCTAGTCCTCTAGTCTAGTCCTCTAGTCTGGTCCTCTAGTCTGGTCCTCTAGTCTAGTCCTCTAGTCTGGTCCTCTAGTCTAGTCCTCTAATCTAGTCCTCTAGTCTAGTCCTCTAGTCTAGTCCTCTAGTCTGGTCCTCTAGTCTAGTCCTTTAGTCTAGTCCTCTAGTCTAGTCCTCTAGTCTGGTCCTCTAGTCTAGTCCTCTAGTCTAGTCCTCTAGTCTAGTCCTTTAGTCTAGTCCTCTAGTCTAGTCCTCTAGTCTGGTCCTCTAGTCTGGTCCTCTAGTCTAGTCCTCTAGTCTGGTCCTCTAGTCTAGTCCTCTAGTCTAGTCCTCTAGTCTAGTCCTCTAGTCTGGTCCTCTAGTCTAGTCCTCTAGTCTGGTCCTCTAGTCTGGTCCTCTAGTCTGGTCCTCTAGTCTAGTCCTCTAGTCTGGTCCTCTAGTCTGGTCCTCTAGTCTGGTCCTCTAGTCTAGTCCTCTAGTCTGGTCCTCTAGTCTAGTCCTCTAGTCTAGTCCTCTAGTCTAGTCCTCTAGTCTAGTCCTCTATCTGGTCCTCTAGTCTGGTCCTCTAGTCTAGTCCTCTAGTCTAGTCCTCTACTCTAGTCCTCTCTAGTCCTCTAGTCTAGTCCTTTAGTCCTGCTGATCAACAGCAGCAACCAGTTGAATCAGGAAACGTGTCAAACATGTTGGACAGAACCTGCGCTAAGAGACGGCCTGTCGGAGACGGAACCCTGAGTTTCTTCTTCTGTGGTGTGATGCTGAGGACGGTCAATAAATACACGGGTTAAATATAAACATGAACATTTAGTTGATGACATCAGAATGTCTGATCAGACTCTGGTGTCTCTTGTTCTCCTGGCCGGCTGATGTTTTTCTGTCTCATTATTTTTGTTTGTGCCAATATTCTGTTGCACCAGATTGACCTTTGACCTTTTGCTTATGGTTCCAGTTGCGCCCTTCCACGGCCCCGCGGCGCCCCCTGCTGGCCTGCCGCCCCCCCGGAGAAACCCCACGGCTGCCCGCACTGCGCCTACGCCTCCTCCCACCTGGACAACCTGCGGCGCCACCTGCGGGTTCACACTGGCGAGAAGCCGTTCCGCTGCGCGTCCTGCAGCTACGCCTGCGGCAACCTGGCCAACCTGCGCCGCCACCAGCGCATCCACTCGGGCGCCAAGCCGTTCCGCTGCGCCGTCTGCGGCCATCGCTGCAACCAGAGCATAAACCTGAAGCGCCACATGCTGCGCCACACGGGCCGCAAGCCCACGCCTGCGCCCGCTGCGGCTACGCCACCGCCCACTGGGACAACTACAAGCGCCACCAGAGGAAGCACGGCGCCGGGGCGGACGCCGCCGGAGCTCACCGTGTCACCTCAGACGGCCAGCTAGCCTAGCTCAGAGCCGCTTCGCCGTAAACACCGCAGTGCCTGGACCCGACAGGAAGCCGCTTCCCAACTTCCTGCCTTTCCTCCCAACAGTACAATCACCGTCTTAACCTGATTCTGAAAGCTGCTCTCTGTTCTGCACTGATTGAAATAGGCTCAGGTCAGAGGTCAACTCAGGTGTGCTGCTGCACTGACTGCTAGAAAACAGCGTTCATGGTTCTGTACTGAACTTCCTGCTAACGTTGATTTTCTGAAGATGATTTCTATTTTAATTCACTGATGTATTTTGTTACTGTGCTGCCTGACTTCCTGTCTGCTGAGGTCATTTCCTGCCAAATAGTGACCCTGCCGATCAGTTCATAAAGAATCAGTAAAAGTTCAAAACATTAACGATTTGATTTGTTCGTTTAAAGCATCAAAGTTATGATTCAATATGCAAAAGAATGAAGTTTGATGAAAAATAAATTCAAACTTTTTATATCTTCCACTTTGTTGATGAATTAATTTATTAACGAATAGATTTTAAAGGTACGAGTCATTAAATAAATGCTACAAATCCTTTTTGGATTTGACTCTTTCAAAGACAAATTAAATTTGGTTTATTGTATTTGTATTTTCTAACCTTGGTTTCCATGGAGACAGGCCTCCAGGTTCTGGTTCAGTGATGGAAAAACCACCAACTGGGTTTTCCCCAGTTCACTAAGGAAATAACCACCACTTCCTGTTTCTGCTGAGGAAACACCTGGAGGCCGCCGAGGCGCCGCTCCCTCCCTCCCTTCCATGTTGGCGGCCATGTTGGCGGCCATGTTGGCGGCCATGTTGGCGGCCATGTTGGTTCCTCATGGAGCAGAGACAATTCCAGGCCCGACTGACCCGGGACCGGCAGAGACCCGGGGTTCTTCCCCGAGGTTCCGCTGAGGCCGGGCGCGGCGCGGCGCGGCTGCAGGTGTGAAGTGAGCATGCTCGGTGGACCGTGACATCATCACCACATGGCTGCGCCGCATGCAAAGCAGCTGGAAGGTTCCTGTTCGACGCCGAGCTGCAGAATCACAGCAGGACGAGGCGCAGAGCAACGCGGTCATGGGCAAGGTGAGTGACCTCTGACCTGCTGGTTTCCTGTGATGCTGAACGTTTCCAGATCATTTGGAGCGAGCAGAACCGGGTCGGTGACCCACGGTTCCTCCTGTTCCTCCAGGTCAACTCGCGGCCGAAGCTTTTCCCCGGAGACATCGTGGAGTATCCCAGGAACAAATACTTCTCCCATTTCGGGATCTACTTCGGGGAACGGGACGGCGTTCCCTACGTGGCTCACCTGACCTGCAGAGGTCAGCTGCTTTCAGATCCACGGTTCTGTTGAATCTGAAAACTTTGTTTTCTGCTGATCGAACCAAAAAGTTTCCATCAAAGTTTCAGGAAGTGAAAGTTTTCTGCCGTCGTCTTCTAACTATCATCAGTTTGAGGAAGATTTTATTGAGCCTCTGTTTTGATCCCTGAGTTGGAACGGCCTAGTCAAAACCTAAAACGCCTCAGCATGTCACCCGAAGCTTTTTGCCAAAAGGTTCGGTCTGAATCCATGTCTGATTGACTCTGGTTTCATTTGCTCACATTGCCAGACGCCGACACCAAGATCCCGCTGTTCGGCCGCGCCCTGAGGTCAGAGGTCAAGCTGGATCCTCTGGAGCTGCTGGGGAGTAAATACAAGGTAAAGCAGAGAAGGGGCCGTCGGCGACCCCAGACTGACCCCAGACTGACCCCGTTTGGGTCTGCAGGTCAGCAACATGCTGGACGGGTCGCATTCCCCCAGAGACTTCCACTCGGTGGTGAAGCCCGCCATCGAGGACATGCTGGGCCGAGACGTGACCTTTGACATCCTGTTCCACAACAGTGAGCACCAGGCCACACTATTCAGATACGGAGTCAAAAAGTCCCAGCAGGTGAGCTGAAGGGGTGGAGTCTCTGGTAGAGGGCGGGGCCTCGGTGGGCGGGGCCTCGGTGGGTGGGGCCTTGGTGGGCGGGGCCTCGGTGGGCGGGGCCTCGGTGGTCGGGGCCTAACGCCTCTGTGTCTCTGGTAGATTGAACTGGTCTACGAACACATCATGCCGTCCTGGAAGAAGCTCTTTGAGGAGAAGAAGCTGTGAGCTGTTCTGCCACTAGAGGGAGCCGTCTCCTGCATTTCCAATCTCATCCTTCCACTAAACTTTCACACCTTTAGAAATACTGCTCCTCTGCTTTTCCATCCATTCATGGTCCGTTCTCCGACTGAAGCACGAAAGTGAATTTTAAAACTTGAATATTAGTGACTTTGTTGCAGAGAAAGTATTTTTGTCTTCCAGATTAAAAGTGTCAGATTTTTAAATTTTTACTATTTTAAAAAGTTTCTTTTATGTTTTCTGGACTGCAACACATCCACATTTCTTTCAATGTTTTGCTTTACATTTTAAAAAATGTTTTTATTTCTGTAAACATTTATTTTCTTCTCTTTGAAATGATTTTGAAGGCCATAATGTTTCTTTAGACAACATGGACAACTTGAAATTGTCCATGTTGATATTGAAGCTGAGATCTAAATAACAGTCATTTATTATTGACGACCAATCGATCGTCAATCAGCTTCCTGTTTCCTGTACGTTCTGAGCAGATGTCAAATAATCTTTGATTAAAAGTAAATGGAATCAGAAGGTTTTGGTGTTTTATTCATTTCAATCTCTTTGCTTCTTCTGTCCATTTTTCTTCAAACTCTTTTCCAACTTTCGTGTCTTCTCTGGTTTTCCTGAGGAAATCCTGACGTCTAACTTTGGTCGTGTTACAGTTTGTGCGCCAGCGTCTGTCTCAGCCACGATATCAGGATGTTGTTGGTTTCTGCCGGTCTGTCCATCTGTGTCCAGTGTCCGCTGTCCTCGATGTGTCCTCTGCTCAGGTTGGGGACCTGCGGGAACAAACGGACCTGTGACCTCCTGACCCGCCGGCTGCGCGCCGCGCCGCCTTCCGGACGCGCCGCTTACCAGATCCTCCATGCCGTGAGACATCGCCGGCAGCAGGACGGGATCCTTCCCCGCCGTCACCATCAGCGCCGGCATGGCAACCTGGAAACAACATGGCGGCGTCAGGAAGGTCACAAACCAAAAGCCCTCAGACCGGACCGGACCGGACCGGGAGGAGTCCGGTTCCGGTCCCGGACCGGGAGGAGTCCGGTTCCGGACTGGACCCAGAGGAGTCCGGTTCCGGTCCGGACCGGGAGGAGTCCGGTTCCGGACTGGACCCAGAGGAGTCCGGTTCCGGTCCCGGACCGGGAGGAGTCCGGTTCCGGACTGGACCCAGAGGAGTCCGGTTCCGGTCCGGACCCAGAGGAGTCCGGTTCCGGTCCCGGACCCAGAGGAGTCCGGTTCCGGACCGGGAGGAGTCCGGTTCCGGACTGGACCCAGAGGAGTCCGGTTCCGGTCCGGACCGGGAGGAGTCCGGTTCCGGACTGGACCCAGAGGAGTCCGGTTCCGGTCCGGACCGGGTCTTAGATGGTTCCGGCTCCAGCACACCTGCGGCTCATCCACCTGGGCTGACAGGAAGCAGGAAGCGTCTGAAGTGTGATGCGTCTCATCAGAAAAGGTAAAACTGATCAAATCTGCAGCTTTTAGGATCAATAAATGATGAAACTAAACAAGTTAAACCTGCTTAAGCTTCGTGACTCAGACTGTGAACAGACTTATTCAGGACGGTTTGGATCAAAACAAGTTATTGATTTGATATTGGAGTTCAGCCACTGCAGCCCAAAATATTCAGCGCTTTGTTGAAACTCTGGAAGTTTGTGCTGCTGTGGATAAATTGTGATGATGGGATTGTTTGAATGGATCCAATCTGTAAAACCATTTGTTCTCCACATCATGCAGGAAACTTTCCCTCCTCCTCCTCAGTTTTGTGTCCAGGTTCATCAACCATCGGGGTCTCCGGTCCGGCACCAACCTTCCCAGTGGGCTGTGAACACATCCACTTCCAGTTGGCCCGGTTGTTTCGGTACCAGTTCAGCGGCCCCCTGTCACACAACATGGAGGAGAAACATCAGGCTTCACCCTGAAACATCTGGACTCTGATGGCGCCTCACCTGAAGCCGCTCCCTCTGAACCGAGCCACGTAGTACTCCAGGTCGGCCTGGGTCAGCATGGAGCTGCGAGGGATCTGCTGCGGCAGACCCACAAACAGCCCCCCTGGGGAGACGGAGCCAACCAATCAGCACACACGCCCAACAGGAAGCCATCGTTGACCTTTAACCCGTCCCCGCAGACGTCCTCACCTCGAGCGCAGACCCCCGACGTGCTGAGAGTGGGACGCCCTGCCTGAGGAAACGCCAGAGTCAGAGTGGATGGGTGGGTTCTGACCGGACTCTGGTCTGGATCTACTCACGGCTTCACGGCTGCTGCAAAAGAAGATCTTGAAGGTTCTCTCCAAGTCGCTCTCCAGCTCGGCCTCGGCTACTCCCTGCAGCAAAAGCAGAGTCTGAAAGCTGCAGCAAGGTTTGGTCCTGACAGCAGGTGGCGCTGCAAGGTTTTCTAAAGTCAGTTTTCTAAAACTTTCTTCTGTTAAACGGAGAAGAAAACCATCAAAGTGGAGTTGGAGAAAACCGACTGTGATCTGCTTCACTGTCACAGCAAAAACAAACCAAACAAAGTCCTTAAAGGAGTCAAACTGTCCTAAAACCAATGTCAACAGGTTTAGAAATAATTGAGAGCAGAAAATAGTCCTGATTGAAACACTGAAATGCCTGTTGATGATCCAAATATTTGTTGTTTTGTGCATTGGAAGCTGGAAATGTTGTTGGGAAGAACTGGTCTCAGAGATCCAGTTCTGGTTCTCCCAGTCAAGCAAACACTTACTGGTGTTTGGAAGTAAATCTGGTAGTCAAAAGCAGGCAGAGCCTTCAGTTTCTCTGAAGGCGGTTTGGACGGGTCCGGTGGGAACAGGGGGGTGTTCAGAGACGCTACCGCCCTTCACAAAAATCACGTATTTCACTTTGACTTTCCAAATACGGTGAACGTTGATGTCACAGAGTTTTTACCTGATTCTCTCTGGGAAGTAGCGGGCCATGGCCCAGACCAGGGCGCCGCCCCAGTCGTGACCCACCAGGGTGACCTGTGGTAAGAACTTGGAGGGCAGAAAGACAAGTCGCCTGTGATGAACATTTTTCTTTGGCTCGTGTATTTCTTACCATTTTGTCCATGAAGGGATGAGATCCTGCAGACAGAGAAATGCATGAAACCCTCCAGACTGAATTCTGCCACATTTCAACTTGTTGCTGAGTTCAGACCTTGCAAAGCTTCTCCTGGGAATATTCCTCTATGTCTGCAGGGGAACACTGACCAATCAGAAAACTAGAAACAATGACTTTCAGGGAGGGATTTGTGTGTGAGCCCACCAGGTGGCGCTGTGGATTCGCCGTATCCCTTCATGTCCAGAGCCAGGACCCTGAACCCGGCGGCAGCCAGAGCGGGAATCTGCCAGAGAGGAAGCAGGTGTGAAGACGCGACACGTCAGCGCCGCTGCCTTACTGGAAGGCTCAGGCTAGGTACCGCCAGGAGTACCAGCTCTCTGGGAAGCCGTGGCACAGCAGAACCGGCGGCCCGGAGCCCAGCTCCACGTAGTGGGTCCGAACACCAGGCTGAAATGACAGCAGCAGTTACTCCGTCTCTCTAGGCTTGGAGACCGGCTGGCAGAGGACGCTCATTACTCTGATGGCGACGTATCCATGAGACACCTGGTCAGGCCGGCAGGTGACGGGCGGACCGTCTGCCCCAACAGCCTGCAACACACACAGACTCAGCTCCTTCCTGCTGGATCAGCTCAACTCACAGGTTTCCCATCGTCTCATTCGCCCAAAAACCCAACCACTTCAATGAAGTTCTACAAATTCATTGAGTTTGAATTTTCTTCAATCGGAGTCATTTCTAAACGCTACATATTGTTCAGACGGGTCTATACTTTCTCACTATCTAGAACAAGACTTGGACTGTTCCCTGGAGGACCCATCTTCAGCAGCCGCCCACATGGAGCGTCCAGATGACTTCTGGGAAAACCTTTGGTCAGGTGAGACAAAGGGTCAAAGGTGAGACAATGGTTCGGGGTTCTTGGCTGTAGGGTCAGGGTTGGGGTTACCCTAACCCTGACCTGAAAGTGTCCCGCATGTGCAGTAGAGGGCGCAATAGCGTCGCGTTCTCAGCACCAGGAAAAGAAGAAGCGCTCAGGGTTTGCAGAAGTAAAGATGGAGGCCAACGGGGAGCTTCTCTTTTAGTCATTTTCAAGAAACTGACTTCAAACTGTGTATTTCTAACCGTACCCTGTTGAAAAACGTAACTTTCATCATAAGAAATTGGTCAAGACTTTAACTCTCCTCCAAAAATGTTTCATTTTTATTTTAGTTTGTTTGGTAGGGACAGACACATTGACGTCGACAGACTGAATGAAACAGCACTTGACCCGAGACGGCCTTTCAAAACCCTAACCCTCTAAAAATGGAAGTGATAATCATTTAGAATAACAACATCATGTCGACAGCATCTACAAGTGAATCCCAAAACATTACAAATGGATGCAGTTCTGTTTCTGACAGAACCAGAGTTTTGTCTTGTGACGTCCTGAAAGTGGACGTTAAATCAACAGGAAGTGACTCACAGACCGACAGCTTTGAGCAAAGCGGTTCTTCAAACCCTTCCAGTTTCCTCTGCAGCCGCTCTAGAAGATCCGCTATTTAATGGATGCATATCCATTTAAACATTAAAAATCTATTTTAAAAGATTAAAATGCTGAATTTGGCCAAAATGTGCCAATGAAGGGATGTGATTGGCTTTTGGTGTGAAACCCGATTACAGAGACTTGCTACGAGTTTCCAAAGCAGAAAACGATCAATGAGTTCAGAAACATCTCTGCATTTCTAATCATCTTATTACACTTTATCTGACAGTTTGGCTGATTTGATCAACATGGCTCCTAAAACTTCACTGAGCATCCAGAATTATTCCCAGATATTTTTCTTGGGATTCTTGTTCAATAGGATCCGATTGATCTGGATAATCAATAACTGTAATGTTTCCTTGATTCAAAAGCAAAAGCACTTTGTTTTCTGCGTATTGAGAGTCAAACAGGAATCATTTAGTCATGACGACTCACTATATCAGCTGCTCCTGTCCCATGTGTGAACAATGATGTCATCAAGAATGATGTCATCAACAATGATGTCATTAACTTCAGCCGAACATAAACTGGGCCTCGGATGGTTCCCTGTGGAATCCTGTTGCTGTTTTACAGAAGATTTACTGTCATTGATGAGGACTCGTTGTTCCCCATCGTTCAGATCCGATTGTTTTTGTTCCTATCAAATGAAGTTAAGATGCTGATGACTTCATCTCATCAGCAGATTCCTGTCATTCTTGATGTTCTTTGTTTGCTTTCATTGTTCTTTTGCTATAATATACTCTTCTTCATACATATTGGAATATATTTTTCACA